TGAACTGATGTTCTGATGTCTGTTTGGGACAAATAAGCTGTACAGGGAGCAGTTATTTTCAAAACTGACTCTCGCAAATATTTCCTGATTGAACAGTTCATCACAAAGATGATGTAATGCATAGATATTTGATGGGGGGGGGATTAAAAAAGGTCAATTATTATTATTTAACTGCTATGTTTACACATATATATACCTGAAGAAGGTTTTACTAGAACATTATATCAAATAAGAGGGTCGTTAGCGTTGGGGAATAAATCTTCATACGAGTCAGCTACACTGATTTAATTTGTTTAAGTCGTGTATGAAACCAAACTGAACCCGTGTAGTTTAAATTAAAACAGTTTGACCTTCAGTACAAACAACAGATTCTTTGTGAGGTTTTTTTTTACAGCAGCTCTCAGATTTTCCCTCTGAGACGACAGACACACTCTGTTTTCCACACTCATACATTCATCTGAAAATTCCTGCAGCACAGCCGCTCTCCTGAGATCATGTCTGTGTGTTAAAGTGAACCAGTGTTGCTGCTGTAGCTTTATTGACACAGTGTGGGCGGTGGCAGTAGAAGCTCAGAGCCACAGGAAAGTGACAGAGAAGCTGTTCACATGGAAATCTTTCCCATTAAGGTGCATGATTATATTGAATCCAGCTGATTTGCTGATGTTTCTGAGGCTGTTTATCTCAAAGTTAACAGCCGGTCGTCTTTCTCTGTCCAGAGTGAGGTATCTGCTGTATAACCTCTACAGTCACTAGTTATTTTACAGACTTGTAAATAATAAATGATCAAATACATTGCTTCAAATTGAACGAGTGGTTTGTGTTATTAATTCATCTTTTGATTATTGACATGATTGATGGTTGACCAGACATGATGAAAGATGTCTGATGAACAGTCTACAACCCAAACATATAACATTTTATTAAACATATTACATTAGACTAGAGATGGCAGTCAATTTATCAAATGAGAAACTGAAACAAGATGAAGGAAATGTTAGTATTATTTGTATTTTACTTGTTTTTTGTTGTTGTTGCAGCTTTACACCGATTCAAACAGGAGGAACAAATGGGTCAAACTCTTTTAAACAATAGGAAACAGCTGTAAAATCACTAAATCAGTTTTATTCAGCAGAAATAACAAATTCAACACAGAGAAGAGAAAGAAAAACAGTGAATCTGTCGTGATTCAGACAGACTTTACACGGCGAGGCATCGTTACATCACAGAGACATTGTCCAGTCAATAATAAGACACTTCTTGTCATGATAATCACTGTTGAAGCAGAACATTTTGATTTTTAATACATCAGTAAAATCACTGACTGAAGTCAACACTTTTTAAATATTAAATACACAACAGACGTCAGCTATCACCGTCAGTGATCCGAGGTCAACGTTTGCATCTGAAATGTTTTCACCAGAGGAGAAAAGTAGAAATCTGTATGTCTCAGTAAAGTGTGTGTGAAGAAGCTCATCACGATAAAATGTAATACTTTAGATTCTATAAAAAAAAATTATACAAAATACTGAAAAATTCAAATAACCTAACTAACACTGAGGGAACAAAACTGGAAACTGAAAGACAGAATTAACTCTTCTGTTTAAATTAAAACTATTGAATGTGAACTGATGTGGTTTCTGGTCCTGCTGTTTGATATCGGCTCTGTTTAAAGGCTCAGTCATTTTTTCATAACTGTGAAATCAGTCGAGAAAATTGTTCATGTTGAGTTTAACTTTTAGAGACAAACAGAAGAAATATTCTTCTGGACACATTTTAAAAAAGAAGGAAAAAAAATCATTATAATTATTTTACTCTTATTATTAATATTATTATATTGTTTTCATGGCAGTACCTGCCACCAGAAGCAGATGATGGTTTGATGCCTTTGCTCGACGGGTCGTTCACATCTCTTTAACTCAGCCCACTTACCGTGTCGTACGCATTTACTCCCGTCTGGGAACCACCATGAAATCCCTTACTCTCTTGAAAAAATACTCATAATAAAATATTTAGATATAAAAAGGAGCCTCTGCCATCAGCCAACGGCAGGAGTCTGTGCACTTGGTAAATAATCCTACGGTCTTTGAGCCAGGCGGCTCTTCCCCTCCTCCTGCTCGGCTAGCTTGATGTGAGTGTAAGACAGGATACCTGCCAGCGTGCAGAGGATCCCCAAAGCCTGAGGGTGAGAGAGAAAGATGAGGAAAGAGGTTTTAGAGAAAGTAAAAGGTTTGAATCACAGAGCAGCATCGTGAGACTCACCTGGTTGAGTGACAGCGGGTCATGGAAGAGCAGGTATCCTCCAATCAGAGTGATGCAGAATTTAAAATGACCAAACATGTTGTAGCTGAGAACCAGGTTAAGGAAAACGACATTAAAATACTGAATATGGAATATAGAATAATTGCTGGAAGACATTCACGAATCCTGAATAAATGATTCACCCAGAAACCTAAAGAAACGGAAACCTCCCCGACAACATATAAGAGCTGCTGAAGAAATGCACTACATTTCTGAAACAACAAAACAAAACTCAAAAACTAAAGGGACCAGCACGATTGCAATAAAGAGCTCCCGTTATTTAAGGATACGTGACAGCTGAGGTATTTCCAATGATCCAGTAGATGGACAGGTTGACGAGGAACGCCACCACACCTGAGAACAGCACTGTCATCTAGAAAGGAAACAGACAACACTGTTACCCCGGCAACACGATAATGAGAAGGGTTGTGTGCTTTGTGTTGAGTTTTACCAGAGCAGGCAGCGACCACGGTCCAAATATTCCTCCGTCTCCACTCAGCGGCTCAAACAAAGGAACGACACAGAGCAGGAAGCCTGACGACAGAGGAGCCTGACAGGACAGTTACCGTGTTAAGATCAGGGATGTTACCATATCATGTTTCTCTTCCCAATCCAAAACACAAGCCCCAACAAAAACAATTAGTCCCAAGACAAGACCTAACAATCCCAGGTCGAGAGCGTCGAGTCACAAACATTAAAACATTGACAGTATGAACAATGCATAAGGCAGAGTACACAAAACAACTGGATTATCAGACTCTATCAGCAGATACTGAAAATAAAAAGATCTTTATTTACTGTTGTAGTCTGTTATTCTATTAAACTGATGTTAGTGATATCATCAACATCAAATTATAAAGTGGTGACACGACTGTTTCTGTCTCTGGAGTGAAGTTGTACCTGATAGTACAGAAGCTGCATGGAATTCACCTGGAGCTCATGTTGTTTAGCTCCGACCCACTGACAACAAGAGAGACGGGGAGAGAGTTAAAATAATAATTCATTTCATTCCTGCGATTTTACTAAAAAACACTTTGTCTTGAAGACGTTTCATCTCAGTGTATATTTACTCACAACTTGGTAAAGCGATGTCACCAGAACTCCCAGCGAAGCAAACACTGTCCCCAGCAGGTTGAACCGCACATCGTAGTAAGAGTTCAATATCACCCCCAATGTGATGGGCACCTGGAGACGGACGGGGGAGGGCACAGACAGGAAGGAGATGAAAACAGCGACACCTCCTCGTACAGCTCATCAAAAGAAGACTCGCTGCTTTTAGCCTCATTTCAAATGTCTCATAAGAGGCGTTGAGTTTTCTTACCAGTGTCAGTTTGATCTTGGTGGAGAAGGTCTTCTTGTAGTAGGTGGTCTGGATGAGAATGATGACGGGCGTGGTCATGGCTTTCGCCAGCTGGTACGTCCCTATCGAGTTGTTCTGCAGGGAGAGGTTGGTGAAGGCCACGAACCCGCAGAAGCTCAGAGCCAGCCACACGATCCTGCGCACCGGGAGGCTTTTAGGAGAGAAGACGTCCATTTGGTGGCAGATGAAGAGTCCGAGCCAGGTGACCACGAAGTGGACGAGGGTCAAGGTCATGTTGGGGAAGCCGTAGTGTACGTAGATCCACTTGTTGATAAAGACGATGCAGATGGAGGACAGCAGGTTGACCAGCAGCCCGGCGAGGATGCGCCTGTTGGCCGAAAAGCCAAACAGCATCTCTGCCATGGTCACAGGTGTTTCTGAGCTGAGCTGTGATTTCACTTCACTGAGGTCGATGTTCAAACTGTAAAAATAAATAAAAACAAAGTGTCACAGCTCAGAGTATAGATGACTCTACTCACAGACACATTGGGAATACGTAAAGTTTTATGTCACAGAATAGACGGACATTTATTTTTACATTCTATGTAAATAAAACCCTTAATTAAAGTTTGGTATATTTGGTTGTACTTGTGTTTTCTTTTAATTCTAGTTATTTATAATAAAATGTCAAAACTCAGGGTTTTCATCACGACGTCTAAGAAATCATTTCTCATTGTAGTTCAGTTTATCCGTTTTATAAAAGTAGCACCATGTAAAAAATATAAAATCTTTTGAGCATGTGAACACGTTGTGCAGCAGAATTGTCCATTTCATAATTTCATATTTTCCCTGTCACAGCTGAAGGAGGCGACAGTCAGTGGTTTCAGTAAATAATGTAAACTCAGCTTTAAAGTCACTAACATGTGCTGATGTTATTTTACATGTGACAGATTTTAAACGAAGCTGTTACATACATGACACTAGCTGCTTCAGTGTGTGTGTGTGCGTGTACATGTGTGTGTACATGTGTGTGTGTGTGTTTGTGCCACGCGTGTAGAAAACTTTACCTGTGGTCTCCATCTTTTCTGCCTCACTCTTCTTCTCTGACTTCAGCCACAACATCCGGCCTGTGTCCGCTCCTCTGCCCGGCTGTCAGTGCTCCACACTCGGCCTCTGCGGTGAGTGATTCTCCGCTGCTGCCGCTGCTGGAGGATGCTTTTCTGTTTTGGCTGCTTTTCCTTCCACAGGTTCGATTCCTCCTCCATTAAAACCCGCCCCGCGTTTCCTGTTTCCTCCGCGTCAATCAACGTGTGTTGAAGGGAGAAAGAGCGACCCCTACCGGACTGGAGGAGGAACAGAAAACTGAGACAGGCAGGAAAATCTGACTGAAACAAATAAAAAGAAATAAAAATAAAGAAATGAAGCTCTCTGCTGCAAGTGTTAGAAGAAAAGATGGTACATGTAATTAAATACAATTGAATTTTGTATGTATACTGTTATTACATTATCACTGAAGCGTTTTACAGCTGCTGTTTGTTAAAGCAGCGACTTGTTGGAAGTTATTTCATCACAAGATAAAACCAAACTTAAACGTGTTTATCTTGCTCCAAGAATATAGTACGGAACAAGGTATAGTGGGTGGA